CATTAAGTGGCCGGTGCGGGCCACAAGAAGTGAGCAACGGCGATTTGTAGCGTGTGGCGGCCACCGGCGTACCGTGTGTGGCAAGTCCATATAAAATGTATGAAAACTACAAGAAATATGCCGGCGGCGGCGTTTTATGGTTGTAGTCGGTGGTCCGTGTGCGGCGACACTTAAGCATCACACCTTTCCATCGTATCAGCTTTCTTCGCGTCTTCACTTACTTCACTAACATCATCACTTGTACCAACTTCCGCGTGACCCACATTCCCGAAGCGATTTTATTCATAAAAATGGCTTTTCCCGGCAGCATTATCACAATGGTGATCATCATCATCATCAGCTTCTTAATGCCCCACTGCTGGAGCACAGGCCTTCCCTATGGATGGAATAGGGAGATTGGGCCGTGACCCACCACACGGGCCCAGTGCGGACTGGCGGGTGCTAACGACTGCAGATGCAGCCGGGACCAACGGCTAAACGTACCTTCCGAAGCACGGAGGAGCTCGACATAGTAAATTTTTGGTCACCCATCCAATGACAGATCACTGCGAAAGTTGCTTAACTTCAACGATCGCAGCCGAACGCGCTAACCACTTGCGCCATCGAGCTCCTCTGAACCGTATGTTAATGAAATACATCCTATATAGACGGTTGGTCTAATAGTGGAGACTTAGTAGTGAAAACAAAAACTGACACTGATGTCCAGTCTAGTACCTACAATATATTCAAAACATAGCAACCAGGACCAACGGATAAACGTGCTTTGCTTGCAATGACGATGATATCACCTTTTATAGACGCAGTCCTTAACGAAGCAAGCAGAGGTAATCACGTACCTCGTGACTCTGTCAATCCACACAGCTCTTTTCGCTGAGTTTTTCACCTTCTGACTTTCATCATCATCATCATCATCATCATCAGCCAATTAATGTCCCCACTGCTGGGGCACAGGCCTTCCCTATGGATGGAATACGGAGATTCGGCCATGACCCACCACGCGGGCCCAGAGCGGATTGGTGACTGCTAACGACTGCAGATACCAACGGCTTAACGTGCCTTCCGAAACACGGAGGAACTCGAGATAGTTATGGGAGTCATGCGCATACAGAACGTGCCCGCACGGCGCGGCGGCGCACTGCATACTGGCGCGGAGCGCGCGGCCTGAGATATTTATATGTCGCCAATCAACCGTCGCAATATTTTTATCACCGCCGAGCGCATCCACGGCTTCTACCAACGGCACAAGCACCAACACTGGCGAAGGACGCGTAGCGCGCACATATTTACGACGATGTTGGAGCGAGACGGAAATTGTGTCGATGTGCTGTCCTTGTCTAACCATACCATGATCATATAAATAGGGGAGCCTAAGCTCGAATAAAATTAATCTAACACAAAAGCTCTTTCATTTACCATCTCTCTCCGAAGCCTCCATAATTGGTGACCCCGATATAAGAAAAAAATCTAGTTCGTGGAGCCTGATACAATGTCGTCGGACGAAAAAGCATCGGACATTAATCTCGACGTCAGCGCCGTATCTATCCAGTCGCGGCTCTTACCCTTCTGGAGAGAGATACCCCGGGCCTGGTTCATCCAATTTGAAGCCGTGATCGATCCACTGAAGACCTCCGATGACCAGAAATTCCGTTACCTACTACAGCAGCTACAGGCCGTCGATCTCCAGCACCTAACGGACATACTTTACAACCCACCTACGACGGGAAAATATGAGAAAGTAAAGCAACGATTACTCGAGGCCTACGACAAATCGGACGTGCGGAACTTCCAGAAGCTAATCAGCGGCTTGGAACTGGGAGACCAAAAGCCCTCCCAGCTTTTGAGAAAAATGAGAGAACTCGCAAGCGGAATGATCACTGAAGAGGGGCTGAAAATAGAGTGGCTGAACCACCTACCCGCACAAGTCCGCGTCGTCCTCTCCGTAAATAACGAATCGTCGCTAGACACGTTAGCCGCGATGGCGGACAAGATGTCAGAGTACGCAGGAAGCCCCACTATCGCCGCCGTCACGTCACCAGCACCGACCTCATCACCTGCAGCTTCAACCTCCATGACACCACTGGAAGCTCTAGCCAAACAAGTGGAAAAGCTCACGCTAGAGATTGCCGAGCTACGTCGAGGAAGGCCAACCCACGAGAGACACCGGCATCGTCGCCGCCCATATAACCGTCGTTTTGGATCGCAATCCCGTTCCCGCTCGCAATCAACGCAACGTGTGCCTGGACCGAAACCCGGAGATGACAACTGGGAATGCCGCTACCACTTCCGTTTCGGAGACAAGGCAAAACGCTGCGAGTCCCCATGTTGCAGAAGAAAGAAGCCGTCGGGAAACTAGAACCGACACCGACCGTGGCGGACGTCGGTGTCCCGTACACCAGTAATCGCCTTTGTGTACACGACCGTGACACTCACGAACGTTTCCTCGTGGACACAGGCGCAGACATCTCCGTTTTGGCCGCCAATCACAAGAGAAACAACAACAAATCTGAAAGCGCCTACACTTTATACGCGGCAAATAATACACCGATCAAGACGTACGGGCAGAAAACCATCAGGCTAAACTTTGGACTAAGAAGAGACTTTACTTGGGCATTCGTCGTCGCAGATGTGAAAACCTCTATACTGGGAGCCGATTTTCTTCGTCACTTCAAATTATTAGTGGACCTGGACAAGAAGAAGTTAGTTGACAAAACTACCGAACTATCAATCGACGCATTAGAAGTTTCTACAAACACCGAATCAGTCCACATTATAAGCAACAATCAAGCATACTATGACATTTTGAAACAATACCCGGATGTCCTACGCCCTATGTCTTTGAAACAGCCTGCGAAACATGAAGTTGTCCATCATATCGAAACTACCGGCCCCCCACTCTACGCCCGTCCCCGACCGCTACCCCCGGACAAGTATAAGGCAGCCAAAGAAGAGTTCGATCGCATGTTAGAAATGGGCATTTGCAAACCATCGAAAAGCCCATGGGCCAGCCCACTTCATGTAGTAAAGAAAAAAGACGGGAGACTACGCGTGTGTGGCGACTACAGACGACTAAACGCGGTCACTCAACCTGACCGGTATCCTGTACCTCGCATACAAGACTTCACATACCAACTGCATAACAAAAAAATATTCTCAAAATTGGATTTAAAAATGGCGTACTACTGGATACCAATTGCCAAGGAAGACGCACAGAAAACTGCAATTACAACACCCTTTGGAATGTTTGAATTCAACTGTATGACATTTGGTCTACGAAACGCCAGCCAAACCTTTCAAAGATTCATGCACGAGGTACTGAGAGGCATAGATGGCTGCTTCTGCTTCGTTGACGATATCCTTTTATTCGAAGAAAACGAAGAAAAAAATAAGAAACTCCTTCATCAAGTTTTACAGCGGTTGGACAAGCACGGAGTGACGCTAAACATAGAAAAATGCGAATTTGGAAAAGAAACAATAGATTACCTCGGCTACGAAGTATCAGCGGCCGGTGTAAAACCTACATCGGAACGAGTGAAAGCCATATCTACTTATCCGAAGCCGAAAACAATCGTCGAGTTACGTCGTTTCCTGGGGATGCTCAACTTTTACCGAGACTGCCTGCCACACCAAGCCGACTTCCAACATGAATTAAACAAATATTTACATAACCGAAAGAAAAACGACAAGACGCCGATAGAGTGGACACCGCAGGCAGATGAAGCTTTTGAAAAATGCCGTCAAAGCATCTCAGAAGCCACCACACTCTCGTTTCCAGTCCACGGCAGTCCTTTGGCCATCATGACCGATGCCTCAGACCATAGTCTCGGCGCTGTACTTCAACAAAAAGTAAACAATGTCTGGAAACCACTGGCATTCTTCTCCAAGTCGATGAGCGACACACAACGCCGCTACAGCGTGTACGACCGCGAACTATTAGCGATATACACGGCTGTAAAACAATTTAGAAGACTCATAGAAGGCTGTGATGTTACTATATACACCGACCACAAACCGCTTGTCTACGCTCTCAACAAGAAAGAAAGCAAGAACGACACCCCGCGCCGCGAGCGTCAACTTCACTTCATCAGCCAATTCTGTTCATCTATCAAATATTTATGTGGAGAAGATAACGCAGTCGCCGATGCCCTATCACGAATTGAAGAGATACATTGCCCAACTGTCATAGACTACAATCAATTGGCAATTGACCAGAATAACGATGAAGAACTGAAACAATTGAAAAAACAATCAAATTTGAATTTCGCCGAGATAACTTTACCACAACTTAGCCGACCAATCACCTGTGAGATGTCGACAGCCACGCCCCGCCCATATTTACCCGCGGCATATCGCTATGCGGCATTCAAAGCGCAACACGATATTTGCCACCCGGGAATCAAAACAACACGCAAGCAGATGACAACAAAATTTTTCTGGCCGTCAATGAACCAACAAGTGACATCATGGACGCGAGCCTGCATAAGCTGCCAGCGAGCGAAAGTACATCGGCACGTAAACACGCCGTTAGTACAGTTCCCGCCGTCACAAAGATTCGAACACATACATATAGATATTGTCGGCCCGCTGCGCTTATCTAATGACTATCGGTACTGTGTCACTATAATTGACCGATGCACGAAACACTGGCGAAGGACGCGTAGCGCGCACATATTTACGACGATGTTGGAGCGAGACGGAAATTGTGTCGATGTGCTGTCCTTGTCTAACCATACCATGATCATATAAATAGGGGAGCCTAAGCTCGAATAAAATTAATCTAACACAAAAGCTCTTTCATTTACCATCTCTCTCCGAAGCCTCCACATAGTAATTTATTTTGGTCACTAATCCAATGACCAACCACTGCGAAAGTTGCTTAACTTCAACGATCGCAACCGAACGCGCTAACCATTGCGCCATCGAGCTTCTCTCTCCTTCTGACTTTACGTACAATTAAAACCTTCTCATTCTAAACGCAAAAGTAATTCTGGCCAATGTCACAGGTTTCCGGGGACGAGCAGCGAAGGCTATGCGGCGAGCAGGAGAAGTTCAGCGAGCGTGCGGGCCTGGGGCTTGGAGTTGGGCTCACCACCTATGGCTCAGTGGCGTACCAGCTCAAGGATGCCAACATGGAGGCCTCAGGCACCGTGGACTTTGTCTGCCGCGCTGCCAAGATCATGAACAGAACTAGTGAGTATTTATGTGCTGTAATGCAATTTTTAGTTAGACTAATAGGAAGAGTCAGATATTTATTTATATCTTTAACAAAGTTTCTACAGCGGTTTTTGTGAAATTTAATACAATAAAATATAGATATAATCTTAAGGCCAATTACAGAAACTCATTACGTACACATTAGATATTAACTGCGTTATTATAATATGTCAGTAATTATTACATTTAATTTAATTTTAAAAATTGCATAATAATCATATAATTCATTAACATAAAAAATAAAATAAAGTTAAGATTGGACAAAAACAACAAAAAGACAGGGTTTTCAAGAGTTTGTCACATGATAACTTTATGAAGTGTGAGTGCGTGTGTGTGCGCATATGTATGTGTGTTTGTGTGTGTGTGTGTGTGTGTGTGTGTGTGTCCATGCAGCTGCAATGCTATGTCTGGTAACGAGATGGCGGACGCCGCAACCCGGGCACTACATCATTCAAGTAGGTACTTCAGTGTGAGTGCTTGTACTAAGCAAGATTTCAAGTAAGAATGAATGTCAGAAATCATTTAGCACTGATCGGGTTTTACTGCCGCCCTCGGTGGCGTACCAGCTCAAAGACGCCAACATGGAAGCCTCGGGCACTGTGTATTTTGTCTGCCGCGCTGCCAAGATCATGAACAGAACTGTGAGTGTTTATCAGGTGTAAAGCAATCTTGAGACTTGTTATATTTGCGTAGGACATAAGTGAAACCACGGTTGGCTAAGCACACTGATTTATTGACGTAGGTAAGTACAAGGCGGGGGACAGCCCGCATGTATGATTATATGTGTATATAACATATATAATATTAGGGAAAGTCAGTCTTATTCTTCTTTGCATATGTATGTGACAAGCTCTTGCTTCTCATTTGACATTTGACATTGTGGGTTACCTATATTGCAAAGAGATGGCGCTGCCTGGCAGCTTCCGAATGACTAGAGGAATTTCGACGCGGTCTGTGAAGGCCGCAGTCAGTGCATTCGCCCGGATTGCGAAGGGTGCGGGCTCGAGTCCCGTCTGCTGCCTGGTCCGCGTGGAATTTTTTCTAGTTATATTTTCTTTAGATTTAAACATCAAGCAGTTACAACTTTAAAAAATAAAAAAATATATAAGCTCTTGCTTGTCTAGTATTGGATAGTGTTAGGAATATTTTGGGGCTCTACGGGTTTATGACGACCTCCGTGGCCGAGTGGTTTGTATACCGGGTTTCATGGCGTCGCCGACTCGAGAGGACCCGGTTTCGAATCCCAGTGGGGGCAGATGTTTGTGTGATAAATACGAGCATTTGTACTCCAGTCATGGATGTTTAATATGTATTTCCATATAAATAAACTTATATATGTACAGAATATGTATTCTATCCGTTACCCTAGTATTCCATAATACAAGCCTTACAAGGGCTCACTTTGGGGCTAGGCTAATTGGTGTGAGTGTCGGAAATATATATTATTTTTTTATTTATTTGTCTGTCACTTTTGCAACATACATATGGATGATCATATGACCGCTGATGTGATCGTACGTGTTTGTTTATTGTTTCGTGTTATTTAAAAAATATTTTTGTGAGATCATCAATTGCATAATCGTGACCTAGCAAGCCATTGCTTAAGCGCTTTAATCTGTATTTATCAGTACATAGTGAATTAGATTTTTGTTTAAAAAGTCTTTATTAAAATGTATGGTGTTTTGTAAGAATAAATAAAATGGACAGCCTCTTTAAAGGGGCTGTCCATTTTATTTGTTAACGCTAACTGAGATACTTCTTAGTGTCCCCGCACACGGGCCACCGACCACAACCACAAAACGTTTGTAGTTTTCATACATTTTACATGGACTCACCATACACGGTACACCGGTGGTCGCCACACGCTACAAATCGTCGTTGCTCGCTTCTTGTGGCCCGCACCGGCTACTTAATGCGCCGATACAAAACGCCGCCACACGTCACCTTGCGCGATTCCCCACCCCTCTCTCCCTTACCTTAGTCGGCCGCTGTCGCGCGCTTCAGTCACTTTAGCAGCCGCTTCTAGCTTCTCGTGGCGGCGTGTGGCCCGTGTGCGGCGACACTTAGATCTAAGTCAATTATATGTAAGAAATGACACTGAATAAAGAGATATTATTATTATTATACCATATACATTATCCGAGAAGAAAAAATACCTTGCAACATGTACGCACTCATTTATCAACTAGTGCGACTGAATTTCTTATAAGACACAAAATATCATAATGTGTTAAATGCATAACGGTCAATTCATACTACCGCAGATTCGAAACGATCGAAGCGAATTTCAGAAACAGCAAAATAGCAAATTCACCCTTATCTCCGTTACGTAATTAACATATTCCTTCCAAGCTGATGATCAGCGGAATTTGCGCGTCTTCTTTTATCTCAGAAGGACATATTCCTTCCAAGCTGATGATCAGCGGAATTCGCGCGTATTCTTTTATCTCAGAAGGACATATTCCTTCCAAGCTGATGATTAGCGGAATTTGCGCGTCTTCTTTTATCTCAGAAGGACATATTCCTTCCAAGCTGATGATCAGCGGAATTCGCGCGTCTTCTTTTATCTCAGAAGGACATATTCCTTCCAAGCTGATGATCAGCGGAATTCGCGTGTCTTCTTTTATCTCAGAAGGACATATTCCTTCCAAGCTGATGATCAGCGGAATTTGCGCGTCTTCTTTTATCTCAGAAGGACATATTCCTTCCAAGCTGATGATCAGCGGAATTCGCGCGTCTTCTTTTATCTCAGAAGGACATATTCCTTCCAAGCTGATGATCAGCGGAATTCGCGCGTCTTCTTTTATCTCAGAAGGACATATTCCTTCCAAGCTGATGATCAGCGGAATTCGCGCGTCTTCTTTTGTCTCAGAAGGACATATTCCTTCCAAGCTGATGATCAGCGGAATTCGCGCGCATACTTTTATCTCAGAAGGAATATGACATTACGTTGCGGAGAATATGTACATTACGTTGGAGAGAAAAAATTACGGAACATTAATATTTTAACACGCGCATCGCAATACATTTATGAAAATATAATATATGTAAGAAAAAACTATGACGCATTTGCAAAAAAAAGTCAAACCCATAACTTTAACACGAGATTTAAGAACAAGCTTGCCGTTCCATGTTTCAGACTCCAAAAATCAAGAGGTTCATTTCTGGGATGATTGCATTGTTTAACAAAGTTCCCCAAGATCTGATTGAGCTTCCACTAACCAAATTTAAATCTTAGATCAAGAATTCTCTTATGAATAAGGGCTATTATAAAGTTAATGGTTATCTAAATGATCGTAATCCATGGACATAGTGTTTCTTGTAATTTGTTATTTGATGGGTATTAGTCAGTTTTTGTAACAGTAATATGGTACCTACCTAATGCCGCTTCCTATATACTAAATATAAAATTTATTGTAACTATATATATCTATATCCTAAATGATGTAATCCAAGGTGACTTCAGAAGTATCTCTGAAGTCATTTTTCAACTTGACGACTCTGTATATATCAATACAGGGAGAAAAAAGCAGCCCTTGCTGAGTTTCTTGCCGGTTCTTCTCAGTACAAGGTCTCCCGCCGTAGTTTTGCGAACTGATGGCGTAGCTTCTGACCTTCACAAGTGCTTGTAACAGCCTAGACTGAATAAAATGACTTTTCATTTCATTTCATTTCAATGGTAAATTTGCTTTGTTACGTTTCTGAAATTCGTTTCGATGTGCTTCGACTCTGCGCTAGTATGAATTGACCGTAACTCAAGGTTTCCCAATGCAACTAATAGTTTCTTTTTTCATTTCCTACTAAGTTTAAATTTTGTTCCAGTTGTGATGACTGTGTTCCTGGCGTGCCTGTCAACGCTACCCGTCATAATGTTGATAATGGGTGAGTATTTTTAAATAATACAGCATATTTGAATGAGAAAGTCGATATCTTCCTAAAATAGGTATTAATGAAAAAACTGGTCAATAGCGAATCATGTTTCTTTATTATTATTATTTTATTCTGAATGCACATACTGTACAATGGCGGACTAAATGCCGTAGGCATTCTCTACCAGTCAACCATAGGGTGTTGTGGAGATTTTAGTGGCAAGGTGCACAACTGAGGTGGAGATCACATTTAAAGAAATATGAATTTTACTCATAATAAATATAATAATTAATTCTTTACATTTACTTGTTAATCCCGTTGATTTTAATTAAGTCTTAAAAGAACGGAACCTTTTAGTAGTTCAAACTTAAACTGATGTTTTTTATTACAACACAAACGCAATTGAAAATAATTTAGAAGTCACGGTGGTACTGTTTCGCGTGTTAGGTAAAGCGATAATGAAAAAGTTTATTTCATTTACAAGTTGGACTTACCTTTATAGCTAAAATAGTGTTATTTTGTGTTTGACACGTGTGTTCGTGACTTCTTTATGCCATTTATAACATTGTGTATTGTTGAATGTTGAATAATTTATTTAAATTAGAGCTTTCATACCCAAAAATACAGTAAAGGTTTTTGATTGACTTTCGTACTCTTCTGTCTGCCTTGCTTGCCCGAGACTTACTGATACCATACTAAAGGTAAACTGACGTGCGATTTTATTTACGTTTAGAGTCCTTTTACAAAATTGCGCCGCTGCCGTACTGATCGGCGCGTAGGTAGATTCGCACTAGTAATATTGCATTTTACGGGTGATGTTTCGAGTCTTTTAAAATAATGAATAATGGTAGATTAGTTTTATGCAAGTTTTTGATAGTAATTCTATTTAATCCAATATCAAAATACGGGTAAAACTGCATTGTTTTTTGGGAAAACTCACGGGGGTTAGATGTTTTTTTATGCTAATTAATGAGATGGAAAATCAAAATTCTAATGCATTATGTTACAACAAAAACATATTTCTGATGTCCAAGTAATTAATTTGATCGAATTTATTCAACATTATTGAGAGATTAAGGCGTTTAAAGTTGTGCATATTATCGTTTTTTCCGTAAACTAGCTGCAGTAGAACGATCAGTACAAAAAAAGGAAAATAGTATTCGCAAATATTCTACATTAACTTACAAAACCAAGAATAAATATATTGTTTACTTCTATTGGAAATAGTAAAAATCTTTTCTAAGAGGGTAAACGAGGCGCTCAAAAATTACGATGTTTTGCAAAAAATGTGAAAGAGCTCTTAATTGTATTCAGGATTTATGTCCGCGGACTTTTTTGTCCGCCAAAATTGCGCATGCAAAGGGTAATGTTTATCAAAAGTACAGTATATAAAAAGTCTCCCGACCAACCGAGGAAACCGAAAGACAGGACTGGACAAGAATACGGAGTGTCACTGAAAAAAAAGCAGTAATTTAAGTATGTATGCTGTGGGTCGCAAATGACCTTCACAGCGTCACCGGGTTTGTGGACGGCGAGATCTGAAGGGGACTTCAGCCGAGAATCGGCGAGTCTCCTCTCCGTCTGGAGCCTGGAGACCACTCAAACCTGAGGGGGTCGGCTCAACTAGAGGGCATCTCTTAGACTCGTACCTCGGCTCTAGTTAGCCGTTATCGTGGGGAGCAGGGAAACACGCCAGGTACGTACCTGTACCTGGTATAGCGTGTCGTGTGTAGACCGGGTCTTCGCAATCTTATCCTACGTAGTCTGCGATGCGCACTCGATCTAATATGGATGGCCCCAGTACTTTCTTTTAAAACATCTTCTCTTTGTCTTTTAAATGAATGATAATTATAACAGAATGTAATCTGAGACAACTTGCGTCGATAACGTTAGCTTCTCAAATCAAATCTGGTTTATTGTTTTGTAGTGTCTAATATTGTAATTTTAATATATTTGTATTATACTTCTGTGATTCGCCCTTCGAGATTACATTGACACACTTGTAGTAGCACGCATTATGTGCTGCCATCGTACACAATTTTAGAGCAACATTAACCTTTGCCTAAAAAATATAACAAAAAAATATAAAATATGCGTTCGCACTGGGGGTAACTCCACATATTCATACACGTTTTGTGTCGCGGCCATCGTGCACGTAATTTTGCGTTTGCGTTTAATTTATTAAACTTTTATGTAATAATGTTACTTATTTTTTTATATTTAAAGTGTGAAAAAAGTGTATACAGGACTTCAAATATCTGAATATTAAAGATTTGCGCAAGGTGGAAAATTAAAACCAAAAAGAAGTTTGTTGGATTCACACTCAGAGGTACTTACATTACATAAATCTTTAAAAATACAAAGTTCAAGGTGAAATTAAACAATACCAAGTACCTAGTTGCTATAATCCGATGGAATCATCATCTTCCAAAAATCTATTTACATCTCGTAAAGAGAATTATTAGATTGTAAACTATATTCCTTTAACATGTTTAGTGATGCGAACAGCACAATGGGGCTGTTTCCTTCACGTACTTCGACATTACAGAAGTAATGACATCAAATATAACCCTTCGACTTATTTTGTGATGCGAGCAGTACATGGGACTGTTTCTGTCACGTACTCGGACACTATAGAAGTAAATAACATTAAATAAATTGTGCAACGTAAAACATGATGCAAATGCTTTTTGGAATTATTAAATTCATGAAAATACACTTTTAATTGTGATAACTTGTGATAAGTAGTGTTGCCTGTGATGCGAATGGTTTTTGGGATCATTTCCTTCACAATAATACATAAGTAATATGTTATGTAAACTTAGGAGTGTTCACTGTGTGATGTGAATATTTTTTGGGATTATTTTTTTCACAAAAATATTTAAGTTATACCTATATTAAATAAAATTTACTGTTTCCTTCATGTCCATCGAAATTACTACTCGTTAATTGGGCATTTGTAAACTATATTCTTTTAACATGAACATGTTTTGTGATGCGAACAGCACAATGGGGCTGTTTCCTTCACGTACTTCGACATTACAGAAGTAATGACATCAAATATAATCCTATGACTTATTTTGTGATGCGAGCAGTACATGGGACTGTTTCTGTCACGTACTCGGACACTATAGAAGTAAATAACATTGAATAGATTGTGCAACGTAAAACATGATGCAAATGCCTTTTGGAATTATTAAATTCATGAAAATACACATATAATTGTGTTATCTTGTGGTAAGTAGTGTTGCCTGTGATGCGAATAGTTTTTGGGATCCTTTCCTTCACAATAATACATAAGTAATATGATATATAAACTTAAGGAGTGTTCACTGTGTGATGTGAATATTTTTTTTTGGGATTATTTCCTTCACAAAAAATATGGAAGTTATACCTATGTTAAATAAAATTGCTGTTTCCTTCGTGTACATCGAAATTACTACTCGTTAATTGGGCATTTGTAAACTATATTCCTTTAACATGTTTTGTGATGCGAACAGCACAATGGGGCTGTTTCCTTCACGTACTTCGACATTACAGAAGTAATGACATCAAATATAATCCTATGACTTATTTCGTGATGCGAGCAGTACATGGGACTGTTTCTGTCACATACTCGGACACTATTGAAGTAAATAACATTGAACAAAGTGTGCAACGTAAAACATGATGCAAATGCCTTTTGGAATTATTAAATTCATGAAAATACACTTTTAATTGTGTTAACTTGTGGAAAGTAGTGTTGACTATGATGCGAATGGTTTTTGGGATCATTTCCTTCGCAATAATACATAAATAATATGATAAGTAAACTCAAGGAGTGTTCACTGTAATGCGAAAAATTGCAACTACCTATTGAACCTGCAATTAACGAGAAAGAGAACTTAAACTCACCTTTGCGTTTTTCGCAAAAAACATTTTGTGTCGAGTGCCCAGCATCCTGCGAGCTGTTTTTCTGGACACAGTTTAGGGTTAATTAACCCAACAATTGCTGTTTCGTTGAACGGTATTTACACGGTATTTTAATATTACGAAGAAATAAAATAAGTAATGTGTTACTTTGAAACAAATATTTTGAATGACGTAATTTTTAAAATACGTGTCGCCTCCATTTTTATCACAGATTCAAAGTGTTTGGCACGAAATGTATCGAGTCAGCTTTTTCGATAAGTTTCTGTGAGGATTCCCCAACAGAAGAGTTATGACATGGTGACTACCTGCGATATCAACGAAGTCAAAACCGCTACGAAAACACAAGTTTGTGGAAGCGTCGACTCGACTCCGGAAGCTTTAAACTAGAGGGGCTCACCACCTATGCTGGCACTACCGGCACCTCAGCGCATGCAGCTGAGGTCCAGCCGCATCAATACCACAGGACCCACCAGCACCGCCAGTGGTTCCAGCCTGCTCCCTGCGCCGCTAGAATCAGCAGCCGTCACCAACACCAGGAGCACTGGGAATACTCAGGCTGGTAGATAACATTCTTTTAATACACATATAATTATTGGCGTAAATTCACCAATGATCCTTTTGTCTTCCTGGGTGCCCGGACTACGTATTCGGACATCCGGCAGTTTCTTGGCCTTTGCTAACTGCCTTCTAAATAAAATCGGTTTTTAAAGCAGATGAATTGGATACCTATTAGTAGGAGATCATTGTATAAGTGTCGGCACAATCATTGTGGTGTTTGATCCCTATGAGGGTCAATTCTTGTCAGTATTTTTCTTATTTAAAAATGTACCAGTAAAAAAAAAGGCCTTTTTCGAAACCGAAAGGCATTAAATAATTATATTATACCTGATTATAACACACTAAGCTTGAGGGTTATAGAACTGCAAATGAAAAAAATCATGAGATACCGCCTTGTGTGTTCTTTAGTTTTAAAAGACGATTTTACGATTTGATCTACAGAAAGCTCTAAGTTTTACCTTTTTCGGCTTAAATATTGTGACGTATATTTTTTAAATATTTATGCGACTCGCACTGCAATATTTGCGCAATGTAAACAAGAT